ACGAGAGTCCTCCGTTTTCAGGACAGGACCGCTTGGAGACCGGTGTACTGACATCCAACTTCCGTAAGCTATCAGTTTGCACTTGCGGTTGTCTGATGAAGGCTTTAGAGTGAGAATCCGAAAAGTCTGATGAATCAACTTGTTCCAGCGATCGCGCATTCCTATGAACTTCATGCTTGCTCGTTGGATAAGGAGCAAACGATATACACACGGGTTCGCTTGAACCGCTAAATAGCCGGCTGAGGAATGTGCACAAGTAAATTGGAGGAGGAGGAGAAGGAGGTGTGGTACCTTGGTGAGCGACTCATCGTGAAAAAAAACTCATCGACAGAGCAATTTAGGCCTGAAATCGTCCCTTAGGCCTCTTGTCTGAAATGCCTAAAAGTCTGCAATGCATTTATGTGTGTATGTGTAGCCTTAAGACGACAGACACACTGAATGATCTTTTATCCCAAAATGTTTACAAACTCGCGAGCGAATTATGTGGGGTTGCTCTCGCTAAATCAGGAATGCTCAACTTAATGATGGACTCTTCAGATTCAGTCGCCACGTTCTCTTATTCTATTCTCTAAGAATTTCTATGTGTATACTTGGTCGCGCATACTTGGCGAGATGATTCCGAAAATGTTAACTGCAATATTTTCGCTGATATTTCTTCAATGTTACATTGGAATCATGATTCTATCAGTTTACATATTGCCGCTCCTGGCTGACTGTCGGGCGGTTATAAAAAAAGGATGAAGGAGTACCGACATAGATAGGAACTACAGTATTTGCAGGAAGATGCCCAATTATTAGTCCTCGTGATCTCAAACCGACCGCATAGGCCCGAGCAAAACCAGATAAAGAGTCGAGTTTTTGTACTTATAGGTCACTCAATGTGTCTGTCGCGATAAGGCCACGCGTAGTTTCATCGCTGACCCCCGGGCGTCGTCAAGCAGGACTTCAGACGAGCAACTTCAGGCCTATCTCGCTCTGCAGGTTCGTTTATTTGCGACATGGAGTCGCTCACTCCGTCCCCCTCCTGTATGTC